TTAAGTTAAGCCGTTCCTTCTGGGGTAACACTAAGCCCTAGTTGCAGCGCACTGTAGTGAAGAATTCAAAATACTATAGGGAGTTTCTTTCATAAATTAGGTTATAAGCCGCTAAAAAAAATACCGAGAAATCCGCAAGAAAAAAAAACTGTCCTTCCGTAGAAGTCCATTAAGTGCGAATATTTTTCATTCAGCAAGTTCAATTGCATCAACTTGCTATAAGCTAGCAATTTTCTCTCATATTTAATATTAGATAAAGGTCATAATAAGGTGCAGTTAATGTTTCGGATGCAATAATTGCCTCAGAAGTAATTTAACTCGATGATGTAATCTCGGTATTTTGAAAAATCATGAAAACAAAAAACTATTTGTATTGAGGGAGCGCCTAGAAAGTCGCAAAATAATTACATCATTCAGTAAAACCTGATAAGTATATTGAATTTGTAACTAGAGACATTCGGAAAAGAGCGTTTTCACAAAACCGACGGATTTACAAAAACAATTTCGAATTTATTCCATCCTTGAACAACTCTCAAACTTCTAGGCATAAAAAATCCCTTAACTTTCCTCAAAAATTCCGTTAGAAAATTAAAGCCTTTCTGTTTCACTACACATTTGAGACGGAAACAGTTTAAGAAGCCTAAATGCTAGAAAATATGCATGTTTTGTAAAAACGCCTCTTTTCAAGCTTCATCTACTTACATTTTATGCAGAAAACGCCAGAAGAATAAATTATTACCACTAACAATTACTAAGTATTACTAATTACTAAGTAGTTCGCATCACAGAAGATTTTTTACTTCGTAGACGAATCGCTCACAGTTCAACGAAGAGAGATCACCGGATCGAGCAAATCACCCGTCATCAAAATTCATATCAATAAAATTCTTTGGTGGTTTGACCGGTCCTACTAGGGCCAAGGAGGGTACTGTAAACTGCATACGAATGCAGAGTTGCACCTGAAAATTTTTGTCTCTAAAAAATTTGATACAGAATTTTTCACTTCAGTTTTCTTCGACGCCATTATACTTCTAAGCAGCTCTCAAAAGGGGGGACAATTGTGCCAGCCTTGTCAGCAGATAGCTTTTGTTGGCTACTGCTACCAAACGGGCTACTTTGAAGCGCTTCCACCTTCTACGGGGAGTAAATACGTAAGGATTTTTAACAAAGATTTCGCCTAAATTTCTTGACAGATGAAAACTTGACCACTATGCTTATAACGAGCTGAAAAACGAAAAAAGCAAGCACTTGTTAATTATTATTGTGTATTAAAAAACTGGCTAAAAAAGCTATCATTAAGGTTGATCCATCCCAAAAAAAAAACTCTGAAAGATAAGATTTCTGTCCGATAAGCACAAGAGCAACCAGAAGGATGGCCCATGAGTAGGTTCCAGTCAAAAAAAAGTACAGGAAAACCTATTCAACAATACTGTGCACTTACCGAGGACAACAAATAAATGCCAAATTGTATGCGCAAATGGTACGACACCATCTAATTTGAAAAAAATAACGCCTATTAGATAAATAAAGCCACCAAAAAGCATCAAAGTTAAGCCGCTCCAATCATTCTGAAATTTTTACAAATTTTTACAAAAACCTAACAAAAATCATAATTATAGTGTTTATATTTATCATTACTATCTCTCCTTCACCTGATTCAGTAATTAATAATTGAAAAGTAAAAGAACTGAGCAAAGTACCATATTGTAAACAGCAGCGGACGGCGTTACAGCAACAACTATATATAATAGCGTTTCTATCGTTTTGTACCTAAATTAGATTTTTTTAAAAATATTTCAAGCACAGAAGAAATAAAAACAGTTTGAATATCGAACAAAGAAGACCGCAAAGACACTGTAACTGTTGCGGAATTGGTTTGCTGCCAGATAAAATCCATAACACTTTTTGTGCATATGCTTACGCTCGAATCGAAGCGATTATCAACAAAAAACCAAAAACAGAACGAGTACACTTCAGAAAGCAAATTTCTATTACTAAAAAACATTTTCAAAGTGAGGCATTCGATAAAAAAGTTGCAAAAACAGCAAAAAATTCCTTCATTTTTGCTGGAAATTTCTAGAATGCTTTTGACTGAGCGGAACATAGCGCTGTACTGCAAGCTCCTTCACAGTACATAGAAATCACCATTTCCTCTTACCGCAGAAATCACCGTAGTAAATTTACAGTTATTACAAAAACTGCGAAATGGATTCACAATAATAAAAAGGAAGTTAAATTTCAAGTTCATACAGGTTGTCAGAAAACACTTTCTGCCTCTAAATCGCCTTAAGACTCAATAATTAATCCTATGAGCTTGTGCGCTCTGTTCATTCGGCACAAATGAAACCGATGAACAAAAATTTGGTCAAGAACGTTTTACAGGCAAAGAACATGAGAAGGGCTATTACAGATGCGATTAAAAACCACACAAGAAGGGGAAGGGATGTGATCAATTCGCTTTTTTCTCCGAAAAAACGAGGTAAGGAAGCAAAAAATGTGTACGAAAGTAATGAGTACGACAGCGGCCTGTAGTGATGTAGCTTCAATTCCAGCAGTAAGAAAAAGCTCTGTCGATCGTACAAGGAGGTACAACTATAAAACATCGAATAACTCCATCAGTATATGAACAATTTCTGTTTTCAAGCTTTCCGCTGAAGGCAAAATTTTCTTTGATAAGTTTTACAACAAAACACAGCAAACCTCTCATGAAACATATACTGATAGATAATACCCAAGAAAGCAAACAACCAAATAAGCCATTTGAAATCCACTCCCAGCTCTCCACAGTGTCTCAACGTTAACCATGGCATGTATGAGGCAGCAATAAAAAAGTAGATGGCCGCACGATCGATTATATGAAGGTAGTAACGGAGTTTTCTGAAAAGAGAGAAGAAAAATCGCAAAAACTTGTCTGAAAAACCTGATTTTTCAGACGTTACAATTAGCAAAAAGAAAAAAAATAGTCGAGAAAATTCTTTTGTTTCTTGGAATACAGTAAAACGACGAAAAACGAGATGAAAAACCACTTTCGAAAAAGAATAAAACAGATCAGAAATGAAATATTATTAGCACGACAAGTACCGTACTTTTTCTGAGGCCGAAAAAGTAGTTCACAAATATGATAGGTTGTTGATGTCGTAAACAGCAACTGCAAAAATTTTACTCTTGCGAAATTCATACAAATTCGAAGGTCCAAAGTAAGAAACTTGTTTAGCACATTTACAAGAAATAAAAATCCTCGTTTCCTAATTCTTCTTGACTTGGCTTTATACCGGTTTGACTAATGTTTAGTTCACCGTGTTATGACTTTTTTTTAAGCAACTTTCTACACTGAGATGGAGAACAAGGCAAAGTAACAAATAGCAATATTATAGTCCCTAAAGTCGAGAGTCTGATTTTGCCAATGGGAAGACCAATCTTTTACTCATTCGCTTCCATGGTAAATTGATACTGGTGCATAAAAAGAAATCACTATCTTGCTTGTCAACAATCTTAGAAAAAGGAAGTATCGAAAGTTTCATCAGCGATTAGTTACTATTGAAATGTGCTACCAGTCGTTCTATTTCGGAACGTTTGCACCTTTCACGGAAGACGGGAGGGCGAGCGGGGAAGGGACGGGGAAGGGATGGAGGAGGGAGGAGGAGGGGAGGAGAGACTACAAAAGCGATTTTTAATTTTTGTCTTCACTCATTAACGACTAGATATAAAAATATTTACTACGAACTAATTAAGTAATGCTTAATTGTAAGTAATGCAAACTGAATTAAAATTAAAAAAACACACACACGCAACATCACAGAAAGGATCAGAAGCGACAATTTTATCATTTCTAACAAATTATTATGTTTTTTCCAGAAGACAGTTAAGGAGCTCCCAGCAGTGAAGTTTTCACTTCTAGAGTGCCCAATGTCATAATTTTTATGCAGCGAGCAATTTTCAGAAAGGTGATTCACCAGCGAACACTATCGACAACTGACTGCTGTCACTCATTTCTACGGACACAACTATGCACCC